AATTAAAACTGAATGACAACTTATTAATTTGAATTAAATGAAACTCAAAATAAACCAGTAAGATTTTAATCTTTGTATTTATAACAACAAGAATTAAAATTTTTTATCAATCTAAAAAAAGTCAAATACTTATTTGAGCAGCAGATCTATAGTTCATCCTGCTGAGAACATAAACATGGAAAATTTGGTCTGATTATTATTTTAGTTTCAGAGATTAGTTTTATATGCAGGTAGACACATTATTTATTTACAAATCAAGCAGATTTATATGTAGATGTATATTTGCCTCTTTAAAATTTATAATTTTTGCAATAAAATGTATGTTTTTGAACAAAAAATTAATAAAAACACTCACTTTCTCCACGTTGCCTCCCAGAAATCCTTCAGCCTTCCCTTGAACTTTTTCCAAAGTCTTCATTTTGACTCTTATGTTTCTTCTATTGTTGCATCTTTTTGTTTTTAATTTAACCTCAAGTTTTCCTCCCTTTCTTTATGCGTGCATGTTTATTTTTTTCCCCTACCTTTAATTTAAAGGCAGAGAAGTTAATGAGCTGCAGAGAAATGTCTGCACCCTGTAAGTTTTCCAGCAGTCCTGCCTGTTTGTCGTCTGGCTGGATGAAGACAAGCTGCAGTGGGATCTGTCCTCGGGCAGAGCCCCTGTGGATGAAGGGTGGGGGGGTCGATCCATCACRGCAGGTTCAGCCATGCCCCTCAGAGGCTTGTTCAGTCTGTGGGAAACAAGCTGAAGKGAAATATGCTCAAAAATCCAAATMCTTTATGGCTTCTCACGACACAAAGGGCTTTGCTGAATTAAACACACTTTGTCCTTTTGCTTTTCTGTGTGACCCATTTTAAATAAAGAGTAAAGTGTGAGCYTAAAGAGTGTGACCTCTTTGGGACATCCCCATCCAGTGGTAAATCTGTGAAACTCAGCCTCACCTGATCTGATGTCAGAGCAGTTTTCCTGCTGCTCACAGGTTGCATTTTAGAGACTTTTCCTCTAATAAGAGAGCACCTCTGATTGGATTTGACCTTCTTATCAATTGATCACATTACTGCTGAGTCAACATTCCTCCTTTTCTGCCAAGTCAGCATTGACATTATTATTGTTG